AGATAGATAGATAGATAGATAGATAGATAGATAGATAGATAGATAGATAGATAGATAGATAGATAGATAGATAGGACTAGTATGTAAACTTTACGTAGGTGAACCATGCTGTGGAAAAACTGGCAAAACTGTGGACTAATCCATATGCTTACATTCTGATCTGACCATCAAGCTAAAGTTCTCCTGTACTCCTAACTGTGATCTGCTAAATAACATTGTTAATTATTTTATAGAGAAATAAAGGCCAAGAACTATTTTAGTGATACCTAAGGACTTGATTGAGACGTATAAAATTTTGCTGGGGGTGGATCAAGTGGATAGAGGGAAACTATTTTCCGTCTCACAGAAGACCAGAAATAGGGGACATCCACTCAAACTGAGTTTTGGGAGAGTGAGAACAGACCAAAGAAAAGATTTCTTGACCCAGTGTGTTGTTAGTCTGTGGAACACCATGCCATAGGATGTGGGGATGGCCTCTGGTGTCCAGATGCCTTGAAAAGGCGACGGGACAGATTCCTGGAGGAAACGTCCCTCGCAGGTGACAAACCACGATGGGGATGTATATAATCTCCAGGCTTCAAAGGAAGGGACCTCCAAAATGCCAGATGCAGGGGAAGGGGGATCAGGAGACAGGGTCTCTCGTGGTCTAGGGTGTTCCCAGAGGCATCTGATGGGCCCACGGGGAGATCCAGGGAGCTGGACCGGAGGGGCCCTTGGCCTGATTCAGCACAGAGGTCTTCTGAGGTTCTTAATACTGTATTCTCAAAGTTTTAAAAATTGCTCTTTTTTTCATGGCATCCCTCCCAAGTCCTCCAGGCAAGACAGAAGTCACAAACACTTCTTAGCCTTTAAGGGTGCTGCAAGAATCCTCATTCTTCTTCAGATTCGCAGCTGAAGTTTCCAGCCCTCACCCTCAAGCATCTGTTTAGCTTCTCTTCCTTTGACACCCTTTCCGGTAGCTTTGAGTCCTACGGGCATTAAGAGTCAGTTGTAAGCACCGCATCGCAGCCGTGCTCGAAAAGGTTAAACCTCCAGGCTGTGCTTCCAGCCACAGAAAACCTGGTGAGAATCTGCTAGAGCCAGGAGGTTTTGGGGGTGGGTGAGTTGGGGGAAGAGAGAATATGTTCCTTGGCAACCTTAGAAATTGACTCTCACTCACCAGGTCCAGGGTAAGATCCAGAGAGGAGAGAAGGTTGTGAGTTTGGCGCCTCTCCAATAAAGCAGGGAAAGAAGGCATTTCTGAACTGAGACTCTCGTCTCTTTCTTTGCCTCCAACAATGTTGGATGATGAACACTCAGGTCTTTCCAAGGAGACGGAGGGAAGTCTCCTCCTCCCGACTCCAGGAGACTTAATCTCCACAGCAGTTTGGGGAAAGGGAGTAGAGGTGGATTTATTTTGGATAACACCTGCTGCTCCTCTGCGTGGCTCACTCAACAGCCACCCTCACATAACGGAGTCTTCAATCCTTGCAATGGGCAAAATCCGCTTTTTGTGTATTCCCTGCACTTGTGGCCTGTATCACCGATATTCTCTTCCATATCTGGAGATGATAGATTGATGATAACCTCCTAATCCTTGCGGTGGCTCCGGATACATAATTGATTGCATCCGTGTACTGTCTCGTCAAAATTTGGAGGCATCTCCCAGCGTCAGCTTCAATTGTGGCCTGATTTGAATCATTTGTCCTCGGTACAGATTTTTGTATGTGAACCTGCTCCTGGGTGAGGACGTTAGTCTGTCAATCCTGGACCCTAACACTCTGGAGGAAAAGAATAAGGCATCTCTTTGAGTTAAAACAAAGACTGTAACAGAAAGATTTGCGGGACGGAGACTTCGTTTTGCTCAGAATCCCAGGCTCTTGTAGCATCGCTTCTTGGTGCAGGTTTTTCCCATGTCGGTTCATTTTGACAGGAGGGGTATATGAGTTAAACAGACCCATTCTCCAGTCCCATGTCCCAGAAAACCGTGCATCTTGCCATCGCTGTGATTCACCAGGCATTGTCTACATGCTTCCAAGCGTATCTTGATCGGCCTATAGGCTACAAACATTCTTTTTTAAAAGCTGGAAGGTGCTCTCCTTAGGAAGCTGAATTCGGTAATCTGTATCACATCTGTGCTGCAGGAGATTCATGGGTTATCTACAGCTCTTCATTGTAGCCACACACACATGAAAGGTCCCTTAATTTGTGTGGTTTCTTATCTGAATTCCATACCTCCAAGTTTGTTTAGGTGGATGGAAGAGGAGACCTCCCTCTGTCTCCTTGGAAAGACCTGAGTGATCATCATCCAACATGGTTGAAGGCCCAGAATCGGAGCAATGGGCTTTCCCAGCAGCCGTGAAGCCTTTGAGTTAAGAAGCCTCAGAGTTAGCCACTTAGCCTTTGTAGCCTTTGCCTGTTTGCTGCATACCAAGTTGGGAGGAGCTGGCTTAGGTTTGTTTAAAGAAGCCCCATGCTTAATCTCTAATGTCTGTTTATCTGTGTCAAGCCTTGTAATTAATATGTTAACAAATTCCCACAGGCCTGCTTTCTTGTAGGAATCACGTGATCCTAAATTCTCTGTATGGGGTTACGGGACAGCTTTGCTTTGAGCTCTTTTGAAGTATGGAGGGGAAGGCACTGAAAACTAAACAATTTACCAAGAGTGAAACACAACTCTCAGAAACCACAATAAGGCTCGGAGTCCCTTCAGGATGAACACGTTCTATTTTGCATCAACTTTTGTGGACTGGAGCCCAAATTTCACCCCGGGATTAATCTTTCTTGTTTTTGCTCAATAGAATAATACACCGTCTATCCCTGTGTTATTGTTGTACGTCTTGCCTTGTATCACAGCTGTTTTCAGAGCATGCAAGCACTGCATTAGTCTGCTCAAACAAAGGAATTATATTATTTTTAAGGAACTAGTATGTTTTTTTCTCAAACGAAGTGACTTTCTAAAAAATAGATATCCGCACTTGGAGAATTGTGTTTCTCTCTTGAAATTGTCGCATGAATTGTGCAACAATTGAGCTGTATTGCAGAAGCATCTTGGAATAAATACTTACTACTTGAAACAACAGCTCCACCCACCCCACCCCACACACCCTGTTTTCCAGCAACTGGAATTCAGTGGGGTCTTGACTTACGAACGGCCCAAGTTATGAACATTTTGACTTAAGAACCGCTCTCATAGGAAAATATTGACTTGACTTAAGTACTTAGATTTGAGTTAAGAACTGAAAAAAACCCACGTGGGAGGCAGGGAAAGTGCAAAATGTGAACTTTCAGTTAACTGTTGGCCAGTGAAAAGGGTGCCTGTCTGCTTCCTCACTCCTCCCAGCGTTTAGAGAGTGGATTGGGAGACAGTCTTTGGACTGCCTGGTACTGTCCTGCCTGGACTGTATTTTCCCTGCCTTCCCTGAACCTTTCTTGACCTAAGAAAAAAAGAAACAAAATATCCCCCTCTAGTGGTCGAAGGCGGAATAGCAGCTTCCCATTAGTTTCTATGGACGGAAAAGAGCAGATATGGATCAAATGGTTCTCAATGCATTCCTATGGGAAATGCAGATTTGACCTGAGAACTTTTTGACTTGAGAACCGCCTTCCAATATGGATTAAGTTCTCAAGTCAAGACCCCACTGTACTCTCTCTGATTGGGGGAGATTCTGTTTTTTCTGCTTCTAGGTGCTCCTTACTGGCCAATCTAGTTAAAAGTTCAGAAAATGTACTATTTTGGACTGTAGCTCCCAGAATATCCCAGTCAGCTTGGCCACAGAACGTAGGGGCTGAGGCATCATGATAGTCCAAAACCTCTCCCAAATAGAGATGAGGGTATTCGTATACGAATATCCCCACACAGGTAGCGTTAAGGAGGGTCCGCCCCCATGGGGAACGGTATTCGTATACGAATATCCCCACGCAGGTAGCGTTAGGAGGGTCCGCCCCCATGGGGAACAGACAGTCCACTCACCGATCTGACGCGGACGCAGAGGGCATAATTCTATCAATGGTTCCGCAACCCACGATCCACTCGCCATTCCTTGACTTTGCAGCGAGGCTTGTCCTCCTGCCAGGAGTGGCGATTGGATCACGCGCTGTGGAGCCATTGGTGGAATCATGCCGTCTGCATCCGCGTTGGATCGGTGAGTGGCCGTCCATTGCCCATGGGGCCGGACCCTCCTTAATGCTACCTGTGTGGGGATATTCGTATACGAACACCCCTATCTCTACTCCTGAACTCTGGTCAGGCTAATGTTATTGTTCGTCAGCCAGGATTCGTGTCCACAGTCTGAAGAAGGATGAGTGGAACCTGATCCTTTCATCTTCCATTCAGCACATCTCCACCTACCTTGGGTCCAGGCTCACGTGGAGAATTAATAGGTTAGCGGTGACTTGACTTAGGATACATTTTCCAAGACTCTTCTGCGGGCCTTAGAGGCATGCTGCCCTTTTGGTATTCCTAAAAGTGCTTCGGGATAACCTCAGGAAGGATGATTGGCCTGAGGGGCATTTGATTTCCGTACAGCTTCTCTCAGAAAAAGAAAAAAAAGAGGAGTGGATCAATCCATCCATCCCTGCACAAAGATTAACATGCCAGGAAGGAAACTTGCCTGAACTTGCAACAGGCTTTGTCTCGTTTTTAAAAATTATTTATGCATGCATGCATGCTCTCTTGTGATAACACGGCCCCACCAGACATCAGCAAGAAGCGTGGCTGCGTTTCTTGCTAAAAGGAGTTCAGTTGTTTGCAGAACAACGGAAAGAAGGGACGTGGGGGGAGAAAGGATAGAGAATCTTTGGGGTTTGGGCAGAGAGTGGGGATGATGATGGGAATGGCAACTGGAATCCTTGAGAAAAGGGATGCAGAAAAACCAGCCTCCCTATCTGCCAGAAGTCTCTTTTAATTCTCTGCTCCTCACCCCCTTGACACGTGACACTTGAGAGCAATGCCTCCCAACCTTGAGTCCCCCAAGAAAACTTGGGGGGACCCAAAGAACACCTTCTGGGAACTCCAGTCCCAGAACCTCTGGGTGAACCAAGGCTGGGAGCCACTGTTTTAGAATATGTAGCTTCTCCTTTTAAAGCAGGGACTCAAAGCATTGGGCAGGGTTGCGTGTGGCTGGAGATTTGTTAAACTGGAGATTTGCCAAAGGTTCAGTGGCCAGTAACCAAGCCCTGTGCTTTCTCTCTGCCTTCCCCCGGCCTTAAACGTGGCTCGTCCTGTCAGAGCTGAAATGTAAAAACCAGGAAACCGAGCAGTGGATAAACATTATGCTGTACCGATGCTCCACCAGGATAAATGGCCTCCTAATGGAATAATGATATTTCAGAGGAACATGCAGCCGCTGACGACTCCAAAGCTTCCGTTGAGCGCCAAAGGAAGCATCAATGTCTTATGTGATTTGTGTGCATCTCCCCAACGGCACAGTGTGTGTGTGTCAGAGAGAGAGAGGCCGTAGCAGCACTGCTCTCTAGTTTTTGCCTTGAGTGTCTCTAAACATGCTCTCCCAATTGTGTCTGTGTGTGTGTGAGAGAGAGAGAGAGAGGTCGTAGCAGCACTGCTCTCTGGTTTTTGCCTTGAGTCTCTCTAAACATGCTCTCCCAATTGTGTCCCATTTTTCCAGATGCCAAAAGTGCAGTACAGATCCAACGTCAAGCCCTCCACGTTCGCCTACCCAGCCCCTTTGGAGGTGCCGAAAGAGAAGGAGAAAGAAAAGGTGAGCCCACTCTGGTCAGGTTTGGAGGGGCTGTGTGCGGGAAGCTCCCTCCGGTTGCAGGGGGACCTGGAAGAAAACCCTTCCGAGCTGGGTGTCACGCCCAGCTAGAGCCAGCCAGCCAGCCAGCCAGCGCTGTGTTCTCAGCTCAGCTTCCCTGCCCGGAGAGGAAGACTGCTCTGCGCTTCTGCAGTCCTGACGTGATTGCTCATCAGAGCTTGCAAATACGTGTATGGGTAAGGGGAACAGCAACAATCCTAACAAAACCCCTGGAGGATGGATCAGTTGCTCCAAGCATGCATTCATCTCATTCACATGCTCTTTATTTAGATGTACACTTGAACAACAACAGGAGTAGGTGTCCACTGTTTTTCCCCAAGAATTTATTTCTGTTTGTTTGTTTGTTTAATGCTAGGCACTACTCTGAGTAGTTTAAAGTCAGAGATAATAGAATATGTTGTTGTTGAGTCGTTAAGTCGTCTCCGACTCTTCGTGACCCCGTGGACCAGAGCACGCCAGGCCCTCCTATCTTCCACTGCCTCCCAGAGTTGGGTCAAAATCATGTTGGTAGCAATATAATATAGTATAAAATAAACAGAACAGAACATAAACAACCATCAGAATAAAGTAACAAATATTCAAAAGCGATCAAAATACAGTCAGTGTATCTAACATAAACCAAAGCAAGACCAAAAGATGGCAGGACAGGTGTAACGAGGCATAAAAGAGGATGCCCTTAAAGGCTTCTGAGAACAGTCTTGTCCTGAGCATCCTCTTATAAGGATGATTTGGTTCTGAAAGCGGCCTAGAATTGTGAGGATACGTACAATGTTGAAATTCGAGGCCATTCGAGGGCTTAATTAGGTTTATGTCCTATATTCAGACAAGTGGAGTGTGCTGTGCAAAGCACCCTTTGGGGTGAGTCGGTGGGCGCTGGGTTCCCTGGTTCAGTTCAGCCATGCTGAGTTAGGAGAATTCTGCTTTTGGAAGTTGTGGGGTCGTGCTGTGGGGTCCTTTCCCCTGGTGTCCCCCCTCCCAGGGTCACTCTGGCTTTTTGGTTCCCTTTGCCCAGACTGCCTTTGAGCTCCCTCACCACCAGCTGGGTTGCCAGATCTGAGACCTAAAAGCCAAGCCCTGAGACTCAGTCACATTTTCCCCGCAAAGAAAATTCCCATTGCGTTCCTGGTGGTGCTGGTGTCTGTGTGTGTGTGTGTGTGTGTGTGTGTGTGTGTGTGTGTGTGTGTGTATGTGGGAGGGGGTGTTGGAGGCTCTCTATGTCTGCCTTGGAGCCTGCCGCCATCCGCTTGTTTTCCTGAACGCTCTTTTCTCCTCCTGGCAACCTCTCAGGTTTCGACGGCGGTGCTCTCCATCACTGCAAAGGCGAAGAAGAAGGAGAAAGAGAAGGAGAAAGAGAAAAAGGAAGAGGAGAAAATGGAGGTGGTGAGTCTCGAGTCTCTCCGCCTTTGAAGCATCTTCTAGGAATGTTGTGGGGCGGCGGTAAGGACAGGAGGGTCCGTGAGCTCATATTCACCCCATTTCTTTAGGCAGGAATCATGATGTCCGGCTCCATCCATTAGCCATCCACAAGGAAGCACTTTCGTGTTAGTACAGAAAGACATACGGACAGTATCTCGGGGAACCTCGTAGGAAGCCAAAAGAAGGGGCTTCCCCCCCACACCTTGTATACAGTTCTGCAAGACGGTGGCGAGAGTAGCTTTAAACGCATGCTCTTGCCATTTCTTGCCAGCCGTCAGCTTGCTTAGAGATACCAAAAATAGCTGGCATCAGTCCCATCGGCCCTCCCTCCCACCTAGACAGCTTCTGACTGTCGCCAGCCATTCACCTGCCAGTATTTCAAGACAGCTGCTCCAGCAAGGGCCGGCCGACAACATGCAGCCCCTCCAAACGTTGACCTGCCATCCTCAGGCCAGCATGGCTGCTTGGGAGAGAGGGAGGACGGTGGCGAGAGTAGCTTTAAACGCCTGCTCTTGCCATTTCTTGCCAGCCATCAGCTTGCTTAGAGATAACAGACACAGCTGGCATCAGTCCCATCGGCCCTCCCTCCCACCTAGACAGCTTCTGACTGTCGCCAGCCATTCACCTGCCAGTATTTCAAGACAGCTGCTCCAGCAAGGGCCGGCCGACAACATGCAGCCCCTCCAAACGTTGACCTGCCATCCTCAGGCCAGCATGGCTGCTTGGGAGAGAGGGAGGGTCGGAGCTGAAGTCCCGTGAGATCTCCAGGGTCCATACATTGCTCCCCCTCCTTTGGGTATTTTTGGCTCCCCTTTATAGCACGGGGCTTGGGTGGGTGGCTTCCTTGGTGTCGGGTGGAGTGGCTCCCTGTTTCTCCTGCCCCTGCTTCAAAGCACTCTCTGGGGTGGAGGCAGGCCCAGCAACAGGGGAGGTGTCTTGGGGCAGCTGGGGAGAGTCCAACCCGCCCTCCCCCCCGGCCTTGAAACCCAAGCTCTGCTGCCCATGATCTCTGCCGTCACCCCACCGGCACCAGGAGGTGGAAGGCAAAGCCGTTGTGGTTTCTCTTTGTCTCACCTTGCCCGTGGAAAGGGACCGACGCCGTGGCTCCTGTATTGAAGACGACAGCAAAGGGGCAGGCACCCCCGTCGTGGCAACAAGTAAGGCGTTGCCCCCCCAGGACCTCTTGCCCAGATCTCGTGGGGGTAAATGCAAAGTCCCGTTCTGGAGCAGGGAGCCTGGGTTTGGCGCAGGGATCCCACTTAGATAAGTCTGGACGTCTTTCTCCTCCCGCGCCGTCTCCAGAGGCAAAGCTTGGAAAACAGGCTTTGTCAAAACCACAACTCCCAGAATCTTCCAGCCGGTGCGGCTCTCTCGGCTGACACCAGATGCCAGCCCTGTCGTCGCCAGCTGCCTCTTTTCTCGTGACTTTTTTGGCTTTGGGTGGGGGCCCCCGTGGTGGTCTAAGCGCCTCGTCTTCCCAGGCCTGCTGGGAGATTAGGATCTTCCTGCATTGTCCAAACTGTGATCACTAGGCAGTACATTGGAGCCAAGGTGGGGGCACTGAATGGAAGCAACCGTTTTTTGGCCTGCCTTTTTTTCCCCGGGGAGAACGTGACACTTGCCTGGAGGTATTTAACAAGGCTTTCATCCTGGACCTCGAGAAGGCAAGGAGAGCGAAACGTACACGAACGTGACTCCAAGTTGCTTTTAACTCCAGCCAGCATCTCCCCGCTGCCATCTTAGAAGACAGTTTCATAAGCTTGCAAAACAGGATCCCTGGAGGGGGACAGGAAGGAACTGTATAGCTTTTTAATGTATATTTATTTAAGCAATCCTTTAAAATTGCCTCCCCCCCTTTTTTTAAACCATGTAGAGCCATAGGGGGAGTGTAGGCAGAGCCCCTCCGAGCAGTTTAGCTTGGCGTGGTGGGATTACTTGTGAGCCTCGTAAAAGGCTGCCCTCCTGTGGAGAAAATGTATATCCCCCCCCCCCGGGGCTAGGCCTGGGTGAGTGGGATAGCTCCGTTGAGTGACCAACGGTGCCTCGGTCAAAGCTTTTGAGAGCGATCCTGGTCTTTTTCTGGCACTGAAGTTTATTTACATAGGTAGGAGGTAGTGGTCTTTGGGCCAGGAGGAGCAGGGGCTGTACCATGTTGGGAGAGTGCAGGGAGGCTGGGGACTTTACCTTGCCCCCACCCCGTGCCAAAATCAGGGCCACCCAGGCTTTGCCAAGGAGAGTATGGAGCCCAGAGGGTGTGTGAAAAAGCCTTCTCCTCTTTCTTGGGGCTCCGGATTCCGTCGCTTCAGGGCTCCCTGGCTGATCCCGCTCCCTTCTTCCTCAACAGGATGAAACGGAGAAGAAGGAGGAGAAGGAGAAGAAGAAAGAGCCCGAGCCGTCCTTCCAGATCCTCGACAACCCCGCCCGGGTGATGCCAGCCCAGCTGAAGGTCCTCACCATGCCGGAGAGCTGCCGATACCAGCCGTTCAAGACGGTAAGTCTCGGACGGCTCCTACCACTCTCCACCGACAGACCTCCTCGTCGCGTGAAGATGGTCTGAGTGTGTCAAATGAAAAAGAACCGACAAACCAGGACTCTGCCGGGGGAAAAATGGTGCACGTGTGATAACCCCCCTACTTCAGGCTGGCCCGAGAGACTCTCAGCACCATAATTGGGAAACCCCAAAAGCCAGCCCCATTTCCCAATTGCCGCTTTTGAACTGGGGAGGACTCTTTGCACAGGTTTGACGGAAAGGAGCCCGAGAGCCACCACCCCCCTCTCAGCAGTCAGCGTGCTCCTTGGGCACCTCCCATCCCAGCCGAAGGCCATCACAAGAAAAGGAAGGGCAGAGCAGGTTGGGGAGAGAGAAGCGAGGGAGGAGGCAGCAAACAGATTTGAAAAGATTTGCCATCCTGAGCACCAAAAATATTTTGGGCTGTCTGCGACTTCTCACATGTTGGCCTGGTGCCGGGGAACCCCTCCATAGATGGTCATCCCATCCCCATTTCAGTGAGCAGGGGGCTGTCTTAGGTTGGATTCGCTGCTGCTCAGCGGCCGGTCAACCAAAACGGGTTGCTTGAGCCATGGCTCCAGTGCATGCGGTCAGTAGTCCAGATGCGGCCTGCCTGCCACTTCTCTCTGTTCTTCGAAAGCCTGAACCGCCAACTCCTCCAGCGTTCTCTCTCTCCCTGGCAAGGCATCCTGTTCCACTGCTCATCTTCCTAAATGTGTGGCTTGGTCAGCCGCCTAGGTTTACCAGATCAGATGATTTGCCAGGTCAACCGGCCTACAATGCCTGGCTCCAAGAAAGTCCTCCTGGGGCAGCGGGGACCAGCCCCTGGGCCCCACTCAGCATTTGGTCCCCGAGGCAGCTGTCTCACTAGGGTCAATGGTAGGGCTGGCCCTGCTCTTTGCAGGGGAGAGGAGAGTGTTGGTTCAGCTGCCGCTCAAGAGTGGTCACCGATCTCCACTCAGCCGCCCTGTGCTTTCCTTCTTTGCAGCTTTCCATTGGTGGCATCATCGTCTTGAGAGACACGAGCGAAGACACGGAGGAGTTGGTGGAGCCCGTGGCAGCTCACGGGCCAAAGATTGAAGAGGAAGAACAGGAGCCGGACCCGCCGGAGCCTTTTGAGTACATTGATGATTAGGGCAGGAGGGTAAGTCCCGCAAGAAGGGGGCGGGCTTCCTGGCTGGACTAGACCGAGCCCCCCGTCCTGAACATCAGGAAAAAACTCCCTAACTGTTAGAGCAGTACGACGACGAAACCCCATGACCTCAGGGGGAGGTGGTGAGCGTTCTAACGCCGGCGGCACTCAAGAGGAAATGGGGCCGCCTTATTGATGATTAGGGCAGGAGGGTAAGTCCCGCAAGAAGGGGGCGGGCTTCCTGGCTGGACTAGACCGAGCCCCCCGTCCTGAACATCAGGAAAAAACTCCCTAACTGTTAGAGCAGTACGACGACGAAACCCCATGACCTCAGGGGGAGGTGGTGAGCGTTCTAACGCCGGCGGCACTCAAGAGGAAATGGGGCCGCCTTCAGTCAGATCAGCTTTGACTGGGATTCCTGCCTTGAGCAGGGGGTAGGACTCCATGGGCTTAGAGGTCTCTTCCAGCTCAGTTCTTCTATGGTTTTAACCCCGTGTCTCTTAAGACGCCGTACAGTATTTCAGGAATGCATCCAGGATTCAGAGCATTGCTTCCTCTGGACAAGGATAGGCTCTATTCCTCACCTGCAGCCCCCAGACAAAAGGTAGATTTGGCTCCTCTGGAGTTGCTGCCCTCTTGCGCAGCATCCCATAAAATGGCGTTCACCACATTGTCCTATGGTAGAACGAGTCTCAGAATCCCACAGTCTGGGAGCTGGTCTCCAACCAACAAGCGTTCCCGGGTTCTGGTGGGCATCAGAGAAGCAAAGATCTGTGTTTTGGGGGCTTCAGCTCCAGAATTCCTCAACCAGCGTAGCTGTAGTTCCAATGAGCACACCTTGAGTAGACACACATCTGATGGTTGTTGTGGTTTTTTCGTGCTGTTTGGCCGTGTTCTTAAGGTTTTTCTCCCTAACGTTTCACCAGTCTCTGTGGCTGGCATCTTCAGAGGACAGGAGTAGGAA